GAGAGCATCTATCATTTAACCACAGATATTGCTAGAAATAGAAAATTCCTAGCCGTGGAACCTTAGGAATAAAATCTACAATTTGGCTCTTAGGAAGTGGATGAAAAAGAACATCATTATTCAGTTCTATTCTCCCTCAGCCATACTACGATAGCTCGATGTATGTTTTGTATGGAAATCGTTGATAAAAATAGCAGCTGCAGACTTTTCTGAGGAAGTTGTTTTGTGAATGCCCATTCAACTATAGCTACTCACGCTAGTGCTATGTATAAACCCTTAAGTCAAATAAAGCTCTGAACAATGTAATATTATATATGCATAGTGTTTTATAAAAAGATTGGCCCACACACTGCTTTTCATCAGTACAGAAACAGCATTAAGTCCATAGCACACTGCAAGTGAGGAACAGAATGCAAACAAGTGCCTAATAGTTCTCAAGCAGGCTCACCATGGAGGAAATGATAATACACAAACCAACTAAAGCTTTAAAGAATTATATAGTCTCCCATTTTAAAACAGCTTTACATACCTGATTTAGTTTACATTAAAATATATCCCAATGAATCAATTTGTTCCATATTCAGAAATATAAACACATATCACATTCCTCACTGCTAAAGTTTTTGTCATAAATTCTCTTTTATACAAGAAAAAAGGCAACAGTTGTTTTTAAACAGACTCTATTAATTACAATTTTTAACTCTGTACACACAATGATTGGTTGGTTTTCTCTCTTTTTTTTGGTCCTTTTTTTTTTTTTTTTAAACAGTACCATGAGAACAACAGTGATTGACTTGCAAAGTTTGTGTCTGTATGGAAAATGCAAAACAGTACTACGGAAATATACAATGTGTTGTAAGCAGCAGTTTGCTATAGTGGTCCAACAGGTACAAGCAAACATTTGGCTCAGCTAGGCAGTAATCCATTTCCTATTTCAACCACTTCCCTGGGCTATAGCCAACCCAATGACACCTCATGTGGGAGCGGGTTGCAAAAGAATGTGTTGTTTTTTTTAAAGAAAAACCATGATGTTTTGTTTTGCTGTCCCCAAATTCCAAGGACAGGATCATGAGGGCAGAACGTTGCCAATGAGAGGGAGAGCCATTGGGATCCTGACCTTTCCCCTTCCATTATTCTAGAGACTGTTAATAGCTTCAAAAGGGAAACACATTTCTAATATTATAAGCACCTCTAAATCCTACATATCAGTAGAGAGCTAACTCCACCAAGCCTCACCCCCTCTTCCCCAATTTGGGAAAGAGCAACCTGGGCTTATGCTAAAAGGGGACCATACCTTCTCTATTGGGGATTGATTCCTTCACACGGGGTACACTGTCCCCACTCCATCTCCTCTGCAGCCTCAACCAGGCAAGACAATACAGAAGGTGTTTTTTGTCCATTTCTCCCAGTAGTTGAGTGAGGCCATGATGGCACTGCCTTAATGAGATCTTAGATGTCAATAATGCTAATGAACCTGACCGTCTGCACCTGGGCTGCATTTGGGTCATGGCAGCCAAGCTTTATGGCCAGGGAGAGTATAACTGTTTTCTGAACCAACTATGATGCAAAAACATAACGTTTCTGTGTGCTGTGTAGATTTGCTATAAATATCCTTCATTTGCAATAGTAGTCTCTTCATATAGTTTGCTTGATTTTAGGATCACCGGCAATCCCAGAGTTCTCAGCATTTACAAATATAACTTCTGCCTCGTGGCTTTTATTTTTTAAAGAAAAACTAACTATAGTATAGCACTACATCATTACATAAGTCTATATCAAATTAACCAGTAACTTCCCTTACCTAGAGAAAATGATCAAAAGCCCTATTTAACCAGGAGAGAGAAAAAGATTGCCCAAAGATGGGAACAGTTCTTGACAATTCTACAGTTTATGTAGAAAACAAAATGTATCCCCCTTTGGGGCGACATTTGGCAAATAATTTCCAAAAAGGTATGCATTTAAAAATACTTTCTTTAATATTATACATCAGGCACAACACTTTTTCACATATATATATTTTTTCTTATAAATTCAAATGCATCAAATGTTTGTTGCTATCCGTAGGGTCTTCAGGTGTCAGATGCTTCATCGGGTGAGGAAAGGATTTCAGGTGTGAGAGCTTCCTTTTGAAGCCGGGACCTGGGGGCGGCCGGCCGAGCTGGGCTCAGATGCTGAGGTCGGTGCTGCACTCTTTGTAAGGCCGCCTTCTCTGCTCTGGGGGGTGTCTGCTGCCCCGGCCGCCCTCGGCCTTCAGGCTCGCCTCCTCCCTCTCCCGGTGGCCGGCTCTGTCCTCGCGGTTCCTCTTCTCCAGGGACCGCTCCCGCCTGCGCTCCGGGGACCGGGCGCGCCTGCGGTCGGTGGACTTGGCCCTCCTCTCGGGCGAGCCGGGCCTCCTGCGCTCCGGGGACCTTCTCTGCTCCAGCAGCCGCTCCAGGGACCGCCGGCGGCGGCCGGGCGAGCCTTCCCTCCGGCGTCCGGGCGAGCGCTCGCGCCTCCGCCCCGGAGAGGCCTCGCGCCTGCGCTCGGGCTTCTCCCTCCGCTCCAGCGTGTTGTCGGCGCTCCGGGTGCCCTCCCGGCGCCGCTCCGGGGCCCGCCTGCCCGGGCCGTCGGCCGCCAGCCGCTCGGGGGGCGCCTCCCTTCGCCCCTCGGGCGCCCGGTCCTGGGCGCGGCCGGCCCCGCCGCCGGCGGTCCTGGGAGTCCCGTTCCACGTGTGGTGCTCGCTGGGCGCGCGGCCGGGCTCCCTGCTGCCCCTCGGGGCGCCCCCGGGCGCCCGCTGGTCCCCGCGCGGGGAGGATCGGTGGAGGTCCGGTGGGTGGCTGGGCTCCGAGGGCGCGGGCAGCCGGCGGCCCCTCGCTTCCGGGGCGCCGGGCCTCACTTCCGGGATGCCAGGCCTCACTTCCGGGAAGCCGTGTGCACCGGCGGGACCGCCGCCGATCCGCTCGCTGCCGGGGTCTGCGGGGAGGGAAGCAGAGCGACAGTCGGTGAGCGGCCCTGGGCGCCTTTCCCACCCCATGAGCGCCACAGTCACAGCCGCGCGCACACGCAGGCACCAGCCACAGCCAGCCAGGCCTGGTTAGGGAGCGGCAGCTACTTAGGTTACCAACTAGGCAACCAACTAGTTAGATTAACAACTAGCGCTGGTGGCTCTCCCAGGCCCTGCCCACTCACCAGAGGGGCACCCCCAACTGTGTCTGCAGCAGCCAGAGGCCCCCCAGGACCCTTGCTCTGCCCGCCCCCAGCCCTTCTCCCTTGCCCACCGCCCCCAGGAAAGGAAACATTTCTTTAAAACAGTACTTGTTTGAACTCGCTGAAAAAACACACACAAAAAAGCCTGGGTGTGAGGGAACTCCCTGGGGAAAGCTATCAGTCTGCGCTGGGATCTGGGTGGTGATGGAGGGGTGCGGAGGTAGAAAGGGGTGCCGGTGCCCCAGGCTTTCTGCGTTGGCTGTGGCACAGCGTGTGCGTCTACTGCAGCCAGATGCCCCGTGGGCACAGGGGATGGACCCAGGGGCAGCATGCCAGAGGTTGGCGACTGGCAAATGGGACATGAAGTGAGGGTCCGTTAGACATCCTCTGCCTTTGTACATGTCATTCAAGTAGTTCCTTCCCTTTTGTGTAAACTCAGGGAACTATTTTTTTTTTTAAATGTGGAGTCTCCTGACAGATAAAAGGGAGTGGAAGGGACGTTTTCTGGAACACAGGTGACATCAGATGGCGCCCAGATAAACCTGACGTTCAGAGGCACTTTTCTTTATGCTCAGCCATCATTACATCGCTGAGCCAGGAGCCACTGGACTGCTGCCTACAGCATCCGGGTATCTCTAGACTTCAAAGCAGGGCCACACACAAGGGCCTTTGTTTATTATGAAACTATGGGAAGTAACACCGCAGATGTGGTAGGTGGCCTCCCGAGGTTATGAGGGCTTTTTTCAAAGCAGGGTTGCTTTGTTTACAACTAACCCCAACAAGTCACCCACGTCAGACCATTGTAGGCCCAGGAATGGGGCGCTGCCGTGTGGAGGGCAGGCCGGGCACAGTCACGGAGATGAAGTGGAAGCTCTTTAAGGATCTTTCATGAAGTAACAGGGTCAAGTGTAAGCAATGAATGATCTCCCAACCTCCTGGGCAGGTGTTAACAAAAGCAGGCATAGAGCCTTGAGCCAGGGGTTGGCAAACTGTCTCTGTCAAGGGCCACTGAATCATTATGTTTGGCTTCGTGGACCACAGACTTTGTTACTCAGCTCTGGCCCTGTAGTGTCTAAGCAGCCTGAGACAGCATGTAAAATGTGTCATGCTGCTATGCTTTATGTACAAAAACAAGCTGAGGACAGGCTTGGCCCACGGGCTGCCCTTTCCCAAGAGATAAGCTGGAAATATCTTCTATCTAGCAAAGCCCTGTCTAGACAGGTGAGAGTTCTGTGGTATGAGGTTTGTTCCTTCTAAAACAAGCATGTTCAAACTCACGGCCAATGGGCCGCATGCTTCCTTTATTTAAATGAATGAGGAATGGTGCCTGCCGGCCTCGAGTCTGACCTGCTGGGTAGGCTATTATAATAGAGTAACACAAAGTCACTTTAAGATTTGGGGGAGCAAGACTAACCTGGGGGCTCCCTACTCCTACTTTTAAGATAAGGAAGAGCAAGACTTCAACAGGGTCAGCGGTGTACTTACAATTCAGAGAACGCAGGGTGCTCAGAATGAATTGCCAAACATATCAAAATAGAGCTAAGCAGAAGCAATGAGGAAATTAGGCCACAGCACAGAAACACCTAGTATTGATTGAGCTACAAACCGTAGTTTGATTATGGCCCATAAGGTAGAAGCAAGCCTCCCCGAGCTTGTCATTTCTCATACATGCAGCGATATTAGGAGGTATCATTGCTGTAGAAGGGAGGGCCCAGCACCAAGAACAGTCAGAGAGAGAGAGAGAAAGAGAAAGACAAAAAAGTTGAACATTTAGATTCCCTGTAACAAAGAGGAAAGAAAAAAATCTGCATTTGTTAACATAGGGCAAAGAGTTTATTTGTCCAGTCAGACAGTCTAAGGCAACACTCAAATAAGGCTGCAGAAATCAGAACAGTGACGTTTTAGACAGCCATAGATGGTGACTCAGGACCCAGACAATAGATGCATCCTTTTTTCTTTCTTTTTTTTCAAACAACTGGGACAATGACAGGCTGGCATAGGAGAGCATTTAACAATAAACAACAGAAGAACAAAGTGCCCTCCCGCCCCCCTGAAGACCACGGCTGTTAAATTAAGTACAAAAAACTCATTACAAAAATAGCCTCACAGAGAAGCAGGTTCCAATCAAGTCAGAAAAATATTGGAACTTAACATATTATAACCCATCTGTGACTCTAATCACTAGAATTAGAGATCCAGTCTGAATGACACATGGAGACATTACAGCAGCACAACCCTGGCATGTTCAACCCTTCTTGGAAAACTGAGCATTTAAATGATCTTTATTTTTAGCCCAAAGAACATTTATTAGTATTGGATTTTCATCCTCAGTGCAACAGACACAGGTTTCGAGAGGGTACAGAGGTTACTGACGGTGACTCTGAAATGAAAATCACATCCAACAGAAGCAGAGGGAAGACAGAAAAGGGAGACAGCGTTACACGGTTTCAGGGCATCCATACACCTGTCAGGGTTCCAGAGCCAGCACGGCTGTAACATCTCAGGGTTGTTAGGCTACCTTCCCTGGGTGTGGTTGGCCATGTCTGAGGGGGCCTCGTCTCACATGCCACCCCCACCTTGGGTCCCTCGTATTTTGCACCGCGATGTCCAACACCTGGGAAGGCTAACTCCTAACAAAGGAGTTAGCCCTGTCCTTGAGCTGTTTTTGAATTAAAGATCTCTTCGAGTCCAAAGTGCAACTGGGAATTGTGCAGAATGACTTTGCGAAAAGAGGGCGATAACAGATAAACTCCCTAATAAAGGGGACTGACGCGTAGGGACCATTCAATCACAGTTTCTATAGAAACTTTTGTAGACCTTTGGTTGGGAAGAAAAGCCCTACATCTAGGGCATAGCTTTTTTTTTTATTTAAATTTTAAATTTTAAACAAGAATCTCAAATAAATAGAACATAATTATTACAATATACACTATTTTGCCATGAGGACACTAAGCTATTTAAAGATCCTTGCTGTTCAGTCAAATCATGTCTCTAGATAGGACAAAAGAACTTTATGCATAATCTGGCTTTCCCCATAGGAAAGGTATAGTCACGTGTTTCCCTCATGATGAGCACTGGGAATCCATTCCATCCTTTATCATTTAAAAACATATGGCTAACGTAGCAACAGTTTTGTGTGTTTTGTACTAGTGGGCTCAAGTAGTCTCATTTGGGGCAGCAACCGGAGGGGGGACGCAGAAGTGTTGTATACAGAGCATAAAGGAGGTGAGCAAGCTCCCAAACCATCTCAGAATTTCACGTCTCATAAATAAGACATCAAGTAACCACAAAAGAAAAAAGAAAAAGAATTGTGCCTCAACGTATCACTCAGGAAACCTGCTTTCCTGCTTCTTAAAAGGAGTAGAGTCATTTTGTGCTAACAATCGGATCTGAGAAACAGTTTGGCACAGTTCAATCAATCATTCCTTCGCTCTTGGTCAGACTAGACAAAATGTGTTCTCTGATTATCAGAAAGGGGGCTAGAAAGATCTTGTCTTAGGCCATGCCCCAGTCCATGGAAGCAAGCAAAAGGATGAAATGTGTAGAGGTTTCAGAACAAGCGAGGCAAATAATCACATGGTGCGGAAGGCTGGTAAGACACTGGTGAAGAGGGGAAACAGAAAGACTTTCCTGCCGCAGTTCTGGAGACAGAGTCATGGAGTCATGCCAGGGAAGGAGGGGAGGTTTTCATAGTTTGACCCACCATATTCCGGTACGGAGCCGTCGCCCCGCTTCAGAGACAGACGCACTCTGCGGCCGCCGTTCTTAATCAGTTCTATAGCCCGAGAATGCTTCATGTTTTTGGTGGTTTCACCATTGATCTCTAAAATTTCGTCACCGATCTGTCCAAAGCAAGAGAGAGCAAAGTGAGAAGACCACACAAGGGTTTCACTGGCTATTGAGGTGCTTTATGGCTGAAATTCTTTCATTTATTGATTCCCCAAATATGTATTGTGTTTGCTGGAAAATCTTCTATTGCTCAGAAAACTTCAAAAAACTCCACAAAAATTACCGCCCTGATGGAGATGACATTTCAATGAGGAAAATGCCTTTAACAAGAAAATTAGAAAAGTACATCTATGTTAGGTAGTATCTGAGAACCAGTTTGGCACATTTCAAATAATCATTCCTTCATTCCTTGGTCAGACTATATATTGTACAATGTTTTCTCTGATTATCAGAAAGGGGGCTGTAAGTGCAAACAAAAAGCTAATAAAGCTATCCAGGGGAATGTTAGTTACTGAAGAAAGGAGGAGGTGCTAAGTAGCTTCCAGGATGCCCGCAATGATCCCCACCTTCTTGTATTCACATCCCATGTAACCTCCCCCTTTTGAATGGGGGTTGAAATTGTTGACCTGCTTCTAACAAACAGTATGTGGCAAATGCGATAAGAGGTCAGTTCAGAGATAAGGTTACAGAATGATTCTGGCTTCTGTCTTACTTGCCCTCTTCTGTTACTCACTTTCTCACTCTGAGGCATGCTGTGAACTGCCCTTCAGAGTCCATGCTAAGGACGTGTATCTTGGCGCTGTATCTTGCCAACGACTCTGTGAGGGAAGCAAATCCTTCCCCAGCTGAGCCTTCCATGTAGCCGAAAAACAGTCCATCTGATAACTGACTGCAGCGTTTACTACGTATCAGTGCTATTCCGGCCACTAGAGCAAAGGAGTAAACAAGGCAGACCAGATCCTGTGCATGAAGCTTGTACTCCCAGAAGGCAGAAGAGCAGCACTGGCTTTGGCCCTATCACTAGTTAGCTACATGAACTTGCTCAAGTCCTTTTAACGGTGAAAGGAGGTGATAATACCCCACGCCTACCAAGCTGAAGGTGTCAGATTGGACAAATGTGTTGTGATCTATACAGCATTATACAGAATGGCAGGACAATGGTATTTCATTCAATCAGAAACTTTTTAATGAGTAAAGACATGGAAAAGCATATCCAATGTGTTTGGAACTTAAAGAGGATATGTACACTATAAACTTGCATAGGCACACATTGTGCATACAAATGCATATGGGAAGGATATATAAAAAAAACTGATAAACAGTTTGATCCTGGAAATTGTATTTTTACTATGTACCATTTTTCACTGTTTAATTTTTTAAAACAAGCTACATCATTTACTTTCCAATGTGGGGGGACCTTGTTAAAAAATTCAACCTGAAGAAACTTAAAAATCAAGATTGTGTCTTAAATACAAGTATTAAGTTCCCTACCTTTAGTCCCTTTTTTCCTTTTTCTGCTCAGGCCCAATTTTATTCACTTTTTTCTTTTCCTGACTGACTTCTGATTTTTTTAAAATTCGCTGTCAATTATTTCCTATGTGTGTGTCTCATTCTATGTGATTTATCTATAATGTGAAGATTTTTCTTTGATCACCTAATCTGCCCAGGGGAGCAACGCATCCACATACAATAGCAGGTACTAACTAAACAGAGCAGAGTGGATCCTTGCATTTGTGTCTTTAAATTTTGTGGCTCTGACTACTACAGAGTGATCCCGAGTAGCCATCCCGTGGAGCCGTGGAGCCTTTGCTGGGCAGAGTCAGCGGGCTCCCGAGGCTGAGGTGAGATGGCGGGTGACCAGCCAGAGACGCCCCCATTCCGCCTGCAGAACCGCAGGCCGTCCTGCTCTCTAAGCATTCTGGGCCAGCCAGGACTCTCTGCGGTGATGTGTGCGCCTCATGAGACGATGTATAACAGTGATGGAGATGGGATTCAGAAATATCTCCTATAATAGTTGTGAAAGTAATTTCAATCCTCCACTCAACTTCGAAGAGTAGAGGGGTTCACCTAACTCCAGCAGCTCCAGCTCACTATGCTTCGGGAGGGGATTTACCCTGGGGTGGGAGTCAGGCATTCCAAGTATCCCGGAAGCTGTAGAAAACGTAGTCCTCATAAAGAAGGCTCTACCACATAATGTCAAAAAGTCACTGCTGATGACGGATTTACATCTACTCCAGATTCCTCTTCCGACTTACCCTCATCTTCCCACATCTTTCGGCAGGACCGTCCTCTGCCAAGCGCAGAACGTAGAGGTCCATGTTATACTCTCGGCCCCCTCGAAGACTGAAGCCGAAGCCCTTGGCTCCTCTTTCCAGGTCCACAGTGTAAACATCCTGCTCCTAGTTCAAGACAGGAAATGGAATCATTCCAGGAGAACCCACACCCGCCCCTTTCTCTCCATCTCTTCCTGAACATCCTCTATTATACCGATTTGACCAAAAGGCACCATCTCTACCCCCTCCTGCAGATCCTCAATTGTTTATTAATATCCATTAACCTGAGAAGTTGGGAGATCCATAATTTGAAAACATTCATGAGTGCGCGCGCCCCTAGACTACACACTAATATGCACATATTAACCCTTTGCACTCCGCTGTCCCCTCTCAGGGGACATTGGAATTCTAGCATATAACTCGGATGTCCCCTCTCAGGGGACACTGCAGTTTATTAGTGGTTACGGGGAATTGGGTTAATTCAACGCACCCGCCGCAAAGTAGCGTCGAGTAGCTGGTAGCCAATGTCCAGAATGGTTCGGAGTGCAAAGGGTTAAAATTTAACCAGTGAGGCTGCAATTCACCATTTACGGCAGGAAAACTCATTATGTGATACCCTACACATAGTTGGAAGTTCACCCTCCCCGCCCAGTGCCCCCAAAATGCCACAGTGCCCACTGTTAGGGTATCAAGAGGCTGAGGAGGCCAGTTTAACTTTGCAACAAGCAATGTTTCCCAAACTTGCTCCATTTGTGCACCCTCCATTACCCTGTATGGGGTCTGTGGGTCCCCCTGAAGCTCACGAGGCTGAGAAACGCCTTAGAAAAAGGTATTTTCTTGGCATAAATGCAGTTACAAATACCATGAGTGGATGTCAGCTGTTTTGCTCTTCTATTGGTTGCCAATTATAGCCTTTTATTTTGTTTGTTCCTCCCCGATTCCCCCCGTCCCCCGGAAAAGGATATCTGGGAATATTTTTCAAAGGTAGTAAAATAAAATGTCATTTCCTAGACAACCAAATGTGAGCGCATATTCAGTACTTCCCCTCACAAAAAGGTTATTTATTTTAATTGAGGTACCTTGTAAAAGATATCTCATAAAAACAGCTTCAGAAAGCCGGAAGGAAACGAGCAAAGCAAAGCAAACTGAGAACTGGCCTCACCTGTGTTGCCTGGGGTGCTTTGAACTCATACTGAGCTTCCTGCTTTGGTTTGGTGGCGTTCCTGCCAAAGTGAGAGAAATACATATAAAACCACCTGTGGGGAAACTGAGGACCCAGGAGGAGTGTCCTCATGCCAGGAGCTGCTTTTTGCTTTTAACAAAGCCGGTCTGACCTGGTCTCCTGGGCCCCCTGCTGAGCGGGGGTGTGTGTGGTGGTGATGGTTGCGATCTTCTCCGCGTTGGTCAGCAAAGTGGCGTTCGAAGACTCTGCGGGATGAGACAGAGTATCGTGAAATGAGGGCCCTGAAGAAGACACCCCCACACCAAGGGAGGGTGCCGAAGCCCTGTAGCTGAGTGACAAGGTGGACTTCTCTGTAATCATTCCAAGCAGCTCTGACTTCAATTTCTAAATAATTCAGAGTCTGGAGAATCATTTAAAGATATTCTAAGATGTGAGCCATGTACACCCTGTTATCCTTCTCCCAATAAGACATCCCACAAATAAAAAGTTTGTCCAAGAAAGTACTAACCTAAAATTGCAGCCAAGGCAGGTATCTCTCACTCTGCCCCCCCACTTAAAGTGACAGTCCCATCAAAGCACTGTATCACCAGAATTATTCTCCAGAATTGGGCAGACTCATTATATACCTCTTTCTTAACCTTTCCTGCAATGTATTAGCAATGTTTAGTGACTATGTTTAACTTCCTCATGTGAATATTAAAATTGGAAGTGTGCTAACATCTTATTAAACATACACACACACCCATCTACCTTTTTGCCCATTGCTTTTAATGAAGTGTAATGGAAAATGTGGAGTTCCTGACAGATCTTGTCTGGTATCACTTATGAGAAATTAATTTAAAAATTTGCATTTGTTAGAGTTGGAGCTTGTAAATACAAGCTGTATAAATCATGAAGCCAGCCTAACGTAATAACTCTGATTATATTCCTATGTAAATTGATTTTCTTCTTCACTAACCACATACCTAAGCAATTTCATTTATCTCTAAAGAATGGAGATGCAGATGCAGATGTTGAAGACATGAGCATGCCTATACACGCCCCCCCCCCCACAACACACACAGATTTAATCATTCATACAGTAATGCTTACACATTCTTTTATGAATTATTTCTCCATTATGATCAAGGCAGATAGCAAGCGACTATGAGCAAGCTGCACTTTAAATATTTATTTTTGGTCGACTATTTGGAACATGGCATAAATTTTCCATTTAGAAAATGCTAACTATGGTGGGTAGAGTCTAAGATTTGCCTGTAAATGCCTGTTTAGCTCACAGTGTGCCAGGAAGTCTAGAACCGGAGGCACTTCAGTGTTTGTCAAGCACATGTATCTACTCAGCATGTCTGACAAGGTTCCTATGAGAAAATATGTCAAGTCTCACTAACTGGGATATCGGGACTGCATTTCTTTTCGCTGCAGTCACCGGGGAGGAGACATCCCTCAAACCCCACCCACTGGCCTGTCTGCCATGCTGTGTGATTGCTGTTACACACAGTTGTTAAAAGCATGGGCTTGAGATTTAAACCCAGGTTCAAATCCTCCTTTCCCCACGCCTTAGCTGTGTGACTGCTTTTTTTCCTCATCTGCCAGAGGGGTGATACTAGTAATTCCCTTCCTGGGATAAAAGCAGATGGAATGTTTGGTCAGTACCTGCCCCACAGTAAGCACTCAGTACACATTTACTAAGTTGTGGCCCTTGCCATGCTTCTTCTCTTTGTTCACTGCTGTGGAACTTGTATAAACTAAATTCTTAGCAAAATGAGAAAGTTGGAATCTGATGTTCATAGTCGGTATTCCAGCCATAGAGCCCACAATTCTTACAGCTAAGACACAAGGTTAATAAGAAAAGTAATTTGCCCTGGCCGGTGGCTCAGCTGGTTGGAGAACCATCCCATGTACCAAAGGGTTGTGGGTTCAATTCCTAGTCAGGCACATACCTAATCGGCAAGTTCAATCCCTGGTCTGAGTGCATACAAAAGGCAAGTGATTGATGTTTCTCTCTCTCTCCCTTCCGCCCTCTCCCCCTACGCCCCCTTTCTCTGAAAAGTTAATAAAAAAGCATATACTTGGGTGAGGATAAAAGGAAAATGTAACTAGATCAAGTGAACTGACATGTGTATCTTGTTCATGGGTTAGGACAATGTTTCTCACAACCTAGTTCACCAAATATTCCTATAGATTCTGAGGGAAAAGGAACATGTGGTCAGTTAAGAGTGAGAAATAATAGGTGACAGAGAAATGTTTCTGCATTTTCTTTTCCCATGGACTCCTCAGAGCCTCCCCGTCCCCTCTCCCTTCCCCCAACAGCCTTTTAAAAAAAAATAATCCTTACCCGAGGACATGTTTAGAGAGAGGGAAGGAGAGAGAGAGAGAGAGAGAGACAGAGAGAGAGAGAGAGAGGGAGGGAGGGAGGGAGGGAGGGAGGGAGGGAGGGAGGGAGGGAGGGAGGGAGAGAGAGAGAGAGAGAGAGAGAGAGAGAGAGAGAGAGAGAGAGAGAGAGAGAGAGAGGAGAGTGAGAGAAACATTGACGTGAGAAAGAAGCATGGATTGGTTGGCCTTCCATACCTGCCCCGACCAGGGATGGAACCCACAACCCAGGTATGTGCCCTGACCGGGAATCAAACTGGCAACCTTTTGGTGTTCAGGATGACACCAAACCAACTGAGCCGGCTCCTTGAAGCCTTTTGTTATGTCAGCATGCCTTGCAACCCTCCGAGTTGGGGACGTGAGGCTTCTCAAGCTATTGGGAGGCAGCTTAGCATAATGGCAGCCAGGACAGATTCTAGAGTCACACTATCTGGTTTTGTATCCCAGCTCTGCAGGGTACCGGCTGGAGCTAAAGCAAAGTTAAACTCTTCATGCCTCAGCTTCCTCCACCCCATGTGGGGCTGCGGATATGTCTTGGGGAACTGGTGCAAAGATTATCGGAAAGAAAACTGTGATTGTGCCTGGAACATGAAAACTGCGTATTTTTTTGTGGCAGCATGTGTTTACTACTATTGAAAGCATATTTTTATGACTGCAGGCACCTGGTACAGCCACGGTGGTAAGTGTAAGACCTTTCACGAAGCCCGCTGCTGTGTGAGCACAGAGCAGTAGGGCTGCAGCCTCCTGTCCTGACTCACCAGGAGTTTGCAAGCACGTGTATTCGTCCTTTTAAAAACCTGATTGTACTCATTGTAATTAACTTTGTGGAGACTCTCTGGGAAATCAGAAGATTGTTAGGGCGCTGGGGAAATCATAATCAGGAAACCAATATGGCTGTTTCCTTGTAATTAAACTGAAGACAGCTACGAGTTGTGGGGCCTCACAGGTGCATGTGGGGCCTCAGTGACCAGTCTCCCAGGCAGATCAGATCCCTTCTCACAGTTTTCCTATTTCTGTGCTTTTGTGTTTGCTGAGATACAACAGATGATTACCCAATACGCATATAAACAGAACTGTTTTATTAATTTTCCTCTTAACCTTCATTTGCTATTTTCACCTACTTATATGCAAATCTGAGGTTGAAGCTAAACTTTAAGCAATTTAAAAATTAACATTTAATATGCAAATAGCTATTTGAACTTCCTAAACTGTCTTGTTTTTATTAACCTATAAACAACCACCATTTCCTAATCGTTTACAATGTGTCAAAAATTGCTAAGTGCATTAAATTCATCTAATTCTTACAGTGCAGTGAAACAGGTGCCATTAGCACCCCCATTTTACAGATGGAGACATGGGGGCTTAGAAAAGACAGGCAATATGTCCAAAGTCATCCAGGGAGCAAGTGGAGGCACTGGCAGCTTTAAGTCTTCAGTCAGGATTAGACCAAGACGTGAAGTGCTAAGATTCTCTCTCGCTTTTTAAAATACAGAGATGAAGCCCACTGTCATAAATTTATAGTTCTGGTCCAAAGCAAAATTTGCCCGGTAATAGAAAAACCCTTAAACTCAGGGCTCTGATATAAGAGCAGCTTCCAGCAGCAGTACTACGAAGGGGTGGCAATGTATTTGGCTTTTAACACTCAACAGCAGACAGCCAGACTGGCTGTTTTTATGATAAGATCCAGAAAGTACCCTACAGCGTTCACTAAACAGTGTTTACACCTCCTGCAGCTCGCTCGGAGCAGTGAACATGGCAGTCGTGCACCAAGAAAAGCACAGGGGAGTCCCGGAGGTGCTGTCAGGGCGCTGCGCTCAGCCAGGCCCTGGCCCCTGACAGGTGCCTCTCTCTGGGACTTCAACAGGCTCCGCCACCAGATTACAATTCTAACCTGCTTCCCCGGGACTGCCTCAGCGCCCTGCCAGAACCCGCATCACAAAGCCACACAGACCAACAAAGGATAACACCTTCCTTTCTTAAGCACGTATTGCACAAACGCACATGTAATAAATAGCTGAAGAAAGCTTTGAAAACGTGAGTCCTGGCAATAATTGAAAAGCTTTGGGAGACTTTAAACTGTGTATGATTGGAAGCTGTTCCTTTTGACTGAGCCTGTTAGCATCATATCCATAGAGCCTGCTATTAAGATAAATTTACACTGTTCTGTGCTTTTCCCAAGGAGACAGCAATACCTGTGTCCAAGCCCTATCTCCTGTAAAACAAAGGTGAACTGAGACAAGGTGATCATCTCTGTGGAGAGGGCTGGCAGAGAGAGAGGAGGGGGAGGAGAGAAGAAACAGAGTGAGGAAAACTAGTGAAGTTGGAGAAAAAAATAAAGGCAAATGATAAGAAAATAGAATTGGGCAACATAAGAACGACAAAAGTGGATTCAGAGTGGGTTCCAAGTCCTGTCCAACAAGAATGCATCCTCCTCAAGTGCCTCCTAGGGTTTCTGAGAACAGTTCTCTGGATAAGATGGATTGCTTGGAGCTTAAGAAACCATGCTGATTAAGAACTTCAGCCTCCTCACAGGGATCATGAAACAAACTGTGGGTGCCCTGAAGAATTAAGCATTTGAGTGAAAGATCTAAAGGAGACCAGCGGTCCGGTCCCTGACAGAGAGCACGTCCCTTTCCCACCCCTTTGCCATGGCCAGCACACGCTCACAGAGAAAGAACCTCCATGAATTTCACGCTCTGCCTTCCAGATGTTTGCAAGACCCTCCTGGATTGCTCCAACATCTCCCCAGAAATCGAACTCCCCTGCCTCAACTGTCATTGCCAAGAAGGTGATTTTTCTGCCTCAGTGAAAGATGAGTGTCACAAACCCACCCACTGCTGGATTCCACTGCCTTCTCCTGGCCTCCAAAACTTACAGAGTAACTGATGGAGAGTTTTATCACCATGGCAACGAATCCCTAGAGTGTCTTCAATGAAATGGCAGCCTCCGCAGGGCATCAGCCCTTAACTATACTGTATCAACTTCCATGTTTACTTTCTTCTAACCAGGACAGCCTGTAGCTATGTCTATCTGAATTTTATACCTTTGAAGTATTCAAGTTTAGAAAAAAGTTTTTATTGACAATTGTTATTGATAATTCACCTTGCATTATATTTTTTGGTTCAGGTTTCCCCAAAGTACTTTTCATTGTACTTTTAAAAAATTAAGTTAACACCTAGTATGTGCACAGTACAATATATGGTTTTCTGCATAGTTCTCTTTCCTGATTCAAACTCTTTTGCTAAGCTCTTCCTTCAAGGAAGTGCTTTCTTCCCTTCCTTTTTTTTAGATCCTCATTTCTACATTACGACTAACGTAGATCCAGCAAGTCAATTCCTATGTCCAGTTCTTTTGAAATTTGTACATGTGTCTGAATTTATATACTCCATTGGGCTCTCTTAACCATTTCTTCATTTCTCTGGCTTCCTTCAGCATTTCCATTAGGAACCTCTCTGTTCTGTCATCTTGTGGTCGCCCTCCTACACTGAAACAGCTTCCCAGCATGGTGACTGGGGCCTGACTGCAGACCAGTGACTTCTCTCCTCACTGTGCCTGGGAGGCAGGCTGAAGGACACCATCATTCAGGGAGCTAATTTCCCTCCACATTTTGGATGAGGTATTTTTTGATGCCGAGAAAGTTCTTTATTCTTGTAACCAACAATTTTTAGTTTTACTGTTCAATTTTAGATTTACTTTTTCTGAAAGGCACAGTCTACTACTTGAATTTTAAACCATAAAGCTCATGTTCTAACAATTCATTTGGTGAATTAACTATTTAATCAATGACATACATTTTTATGACACTAGCTCCATAAAACCACATTTCCTCTTGAGAAGTAATCACTCAATTTTAGAATATACATGGTATCCCCCCAAAATGTATATACACCTTGAATAAGTATTAATTCCAATGGGTTAAATCTGAAAAGAAAGAAACATTAATTGAGCTATCAGCTGCCAAGAGTGCATACATTTTTGGTGATACCCTGCATATTTTATTTTATCACATGCAGAGCAAAAATGAAAAAAAAAAAAAAAAAAAGGATTGGAACATTTTAGGATAGGTATCAGTTTTCTTCCAAGAAACAAATCTGCTAAGAATGAGTTCAATATATAGGACTTAATTCTCTGATGAATCTATATTTAGTGACAGTAGGTATCAGCTTCATTATTATTAAATATGAATAACACAATGAGCATTGTTATTTTTGCTGGGTAACTTTTCATTGTGGGGGGCTGTGTGCACTGTACGATGTTCAGAAGCATCCCTGGGTCTACCCATTATATGCCATTAGCACTCACTCCAGAGAGTGCCACATGTCCAGGGGAGGGGGGCGCAGGGGGAGGGGATCACCACTGCCATAAAAGAACCAAAGATTTGAATTTAACCAACCAAACAAACAAGAATGGGCCTAGCTTAATGTACATATAACCTACAATTAAATAAAAAACAGATTTAATTATATCTTCATTCACATGTAAAAATTAGCAACAAATCAAGGATGCACAAACCCTAAGACTCTCCCAATGAAATAAAACATTAGATACATTCGCTTATTCAGAAAAGATACTGGCTCTGCACTGGCATTATGTAGACTTTGTGATATCACATATCACACATATGTGTGATTGTTTAAAAAGAAAACCTTAGTGATGTCCATACAGAACATCAGGAGACCTTTACCACCTGTATTCATACGATTCTGTTGTTTTAAAGACAAGGACACCGAAACCAAAATAAGTTGGGAAAACTTGAAGGTTTTCTGAAATGCTTTTATATCTGCAGCAAGGTAGATATTAAGGGCTAGAGGATTAAGTACAGAAGGGGAGGTAGAGGTTTAGTAACCATGGCTCACATTTGTTTGATGGCTCTGCTCAGTTAGGGATGGATAAGGCTGCCTCTAACTCAACACTGTTCAATTACATGGACACCAATGACACAGAGGTTGAGAGACAGAGACAGAAAAAGAGAGAGAGAGAGACAATAGTATACTTTACCATCCCCGGGAATGATGCGGAGGGTAACTGTGTTTCCCGCTTCCTTGATTAGGTTGACAATGTCTGAATGGGACTTGTTGGTGATGGAACATCCATTTACTGCCAAGATCCGGTCTCCTACTTTCAGCTTGCCACATCGGTCAGCAGGGCTCCCCTCAATAATCCGACCTATTTTGTGAGGCATAGCCACACATGCATTGCCTGCTTTGATAGTGAGTTTTAATTTTTTTTTTTAAAGTTACGTGGGAATATAGTACAGGGAGGAGAGAAAGGGTTGAAAAGGGAAAGAGAAGGTTAAGTGTTAATTAATTAAAGCATTAAGCAAATGTTATTCAAGGAGAGCTCTGCGCCGATGGTCAAAACATTGGCAACACTCAGGGCATCGATGGGAGAAGCCACTGCCCTGACCTGCAGTCCTTTCCTGGTTCAAAACTCGGGGCGAACCCCGCTCCCCACCTTAAATCAATTACAAAATTTGGAATATTTCACAACTTCAAAGATTCTCAAGAGCCCTCCTCCCCCCATAACTTGCCATTGACTGACTTTGGGATTTCACATGTGACCCCAGGGCTGGGAAGGGTGCTTCTACACATTCTGTGTTCATTCCAAGCCACTCTGCCAGCTGTTCTTAAGCTTCTGCCAATGTTTTGTTCTTTCTCCATTTACAAGAATAATCACTGGTGAGCGTGAGATCTGCAAGCACCCAAGATTCAACCTGAGAATGCCTCCTGGCCAAACACTTCAACCTCCTGCCTTCTCTCCAGAATGGTGAAAGCTTTAGAAAAGCAAGAGATGGGCCAAGACAGCCCCCAACCTTGACATCTATTTTTGCTTTCATGACCTTTGCTCACCCATCCTACCTGTGTTTTCAGGATAGGGCCCAAGTGGCTCACAAGCTCTGAACCCTCCTCCATCCTCACGAAAACCCCCTGAAGGGCCTGTGAAAACCTAGCACCTACTCAGGCTGAGGGCGGTGACCCACACAAAGCTGGGTCCAAACCATTCCTGAACCTCGTTTCTTCAATCATCTCCTCTCTCCTCACCAGTTCCTCCCAGTTTGCAACATGAAAAACCAGGAAGAGTGCATTTGAGGAGGAAGGTTTACTGTGCAATTTGAGGGATTCCATGTCTCAGCCAAGAGTATTGCAAACTTCTAGAGAGAGCTGGGAAGTTGGCTTCGAAGCCTGAGACAGAGTTTCCAGCTAGTCATATTTCAGTTTCAAAGTTTCTTATGCACATTCACCTCTTTCAGGAATTTGTCTTTCTGGGGACTCTGAAGACAGCTTTTGGAAAGGGTGACAAACGAGCATGGGAGACATGGAAAGGGAATAGGCTCTCCTGGCATCATGGGGATCTTGGGAATAAACTGTGTGGGGAAAGGAGCTGTAAGTCCTTTGAGTTTCAGAGTATTTGCCTGAGTTTGTCTTATTGGATGTAACATTATGGCAAAAGGATTTTTTAAAAGGAAGTTAAACAGGTGTTTTTTTTTTGTTTTTTTTTTTTTTTATCCAACAGGCAGATGTGATTGAAAGCTTCCACACTTAACTCAAGGTCTTGGTTAAGTTTTGCCCATCTCCAAGGACAACTTGCATGAGAAAGGTATCAAACAGCAGGTGTAAGGAAAGCTCGCATAGCTCAGAAGTGTCATGCAAAGTATTAGGGACAGTTAATACATTCATTGCAAGAACCAGAGGAAAACAAAGACCAATTGTGAGTGAAGACATTCAATATTCATTAAGTAACATAGCCTCCCACCGGACATATCTGCTACTTCTTTCTAGCAAGTGGAACAGAATTCTGAAATCCTGAGGGTGCATGGGGACGGTCACAATATGGATCTGAAGAAAATAACTTGGGAGTTCTTGCTCCCCTGCCTTTTTATTATTAAGTTAAGCAGAAAAGTTTCCAAAACTAACTTTTAAAATGGAAAAAACAACTTGCCTTGATGTCATGCCGCCCATCCATGACATGGAGTATTAAAGTAGCTCACAAAAGCACTATTAGTAACGGGTGCTTGTTACTGCAGCCACACATGCACAGACCCGCTGACTGTCTCCTCGTGGCCAAACCTCAGTGAAACCGGCCTTAGCAGGATGGAAAGGGCAGAGACTACATGACACGGGGGTCCCTCGGAAGCAGGAAGCTAAAGGGATGGGCCACCTCGCTGATCTTTGCCAGCAAGGTCCTCAGACTCCTTGTGGGCAAGGCATTTGGGGATAGCACTGAGGTGCATTTCAAAGCCTGCACAGCCCTTCCTGCCTCCCACCACATTCCACATTCATCGGCAAATGTGCGTGGGGAATAGCAAATTGCTTTATCCGTGAAGAAGGTGGATCATTCTTGGAGTACATGTTTATAATCTGTTCAATTGGAAACAGATTTATAGATAACTAGTTCCTGGAATCCGCTGGGTTCCTACTTGTCTCTGCTGAGAGCTAACCTTCTGAGGGTGAAAGTACTCTGCTGAACCCCTACACCTGGACTAGACGGGCAATCAACCCCTGTTGGAATTCAAGGGCAAGGAAGACAAACGGCTCTCAGGTTTTCATTAGATGGTTAATCAGGCAAAAGCAAAAATTATTTAAAATTAAAACATTTCAGATGGGGACAGGAGAGAAAGGTCACAGATCAGGTGGAAAGGCGTTTCATGTACTGTTTTTACTCCTTACACCTCTACTTTTCCTAAGCATTTTTACAGCCATTCGCTCCTTCAAAATCTCCTAGACCTCCGGAAGCCACTATTTCCCCGGCATCTGAGAATTTCTCCACATCCAGGAGTGGTTTGCGAATTGCGTGCGGACGCCAGGATGCTTAGGGCTGCGTGTGTGAACTCGCATTCAGCCTGGAAGCTGAGCGGTTAAAAAACCACCCAACCTTCAGCAGGGAAAAGTGCAAACACACTGCTTCCCAATTAAGACGTGAGCCACCTGCAGCCAGGAGCAGGGAGGCGGCTCTGCTAATGAGATATTGACCGGCGCCCGGCGGCCTCGGGAAGCCGGGGAGGGCGCTGCCACTCACCGAAGGTCGTGCCCGCCTCGGGCCGGCTCACGGACGACACGATGACGAAGCCGAAGCCCTCGCTGTCCCCGCGCCGGATCTCCACGTCGTAGGGCTGCAGGGCGCTGCCCACGCCGCTGCCGCCGCCCCCGCCGCTGCCGATGCCGCTGGTGCTGCCGCTGCCCGAGCTCACCGTGTTGAGCGAGTTCTGGCTGCCCTGCGGGGTGCGCTTCTCCTCCGTCAGCGAGGCGGGCTGCGTGCTGCTGTGGTGCGAGGAGGCCGGCGAGGGCACCTCGGGCTCCGCCTTGGGGGCTGTGCGGAAGGTGCGCGCTCAGGCCCAGATCCGGCCCCCACCACCACCCTCTTAACCTCACCCCTTCTCCCCCAGCCCACTTCTAGCACCCCTCCCAGCTTCATGCGTGCACGAAGCCAGGAGATTCGCCTGGCCGCACAGAACCCAGGCTCAAGGGTTTCCAGCAGCACCCACACCCACACCCAACACCCGGTTCCGCACCTTGGTTCCCTGCGCGAACCAAGCCATGCAGAAGTGCAGGCTGGCCCACACCACCATGACCCTCCTTGGCCCGACCTTGGCCCACATTACGAGTGCCATTACTCTCAAGTCTCAGTTCTGCTCAGCTTTCCAGGTTTTGCTGTGAATTTCCCATAAGGCAAGGAGATACACACACACCACCAACCGCCACCACCGGCACCACAGGCTGCCCAGCTGGGGATTCCCCACAGCGCCCGGCGCAGGTGCTTCCTGGCCGCCAGGCTCCTGATCCCCTCAGAGCACATCACACGAAATACCCTCGAATTCCCGTGCTGTGCAATGCCAGTTGGATTACTTGGTAAGGAGACAGGATAAAACACTCCTAAAGAGCCATAACACTTGGTGAAACCAACTTACGTTTCATGCGAGAAGCAAAATGTGTGTTCAGCTTTTGGGTAAGACTATATTTATTCTGGAAAGTTCCTCCTCTCATAGATTTCTATCTTATTGTAGTAAAATATAGAGACCATCACATTTTAAACTATTTTTAAGGGCACAGTTTAGTGGCATTAAGTACAGTCACATTGTTGTCAACCATCATCTCCACAACTTTCTCACCTTCCCAAACAGAAACTCTGCCATAAAAGGCCAAGGAACCACTTCCCTCTGCAGCCCTGCAACCACCAGTCTACTTCCTGACTATACCCTGTCTGCCTGTGCCTCATCAGTAGACTCATGACATCTGTCCTTCTGTGACTGAGTTGTCTTTTAATAGATTTAATAGATCTTTGACCAAATACTTAAGGATTTAAAAATAATTCTGAAATAAAACTCCCAAATTCTTAAGGATTTAAAAATACTTCTGAAATAAAAATCACATTGCTCTACTACTTGTATTTGGCCAGTGAAGTAAGAAAGCACTCAGCACGTCTCAGAAGCCACCCTGACCTCGGTGTTTGCTGCAGGGAGTGCTGTGTGAAGAAAGACCGGCCGGCCTGCCCTGGCGGCCTCAGAACCTAACTGGTTGCCAGTGGTTTCAGGGCTGCAGCAGGCAGGACTCTCCCACACGGCAATCTTACGCCTTCCATCATTCATTATATACAACTTAAACGAGTTACCCCACTTTTTCTTAAAACAAGGTGCCAGCTGATTTCATCTAAGAATATGTTTCACTAATATTAAAACTCCGGAGAACACCTACTATGTGACATCACACTTCTTCAGTTATTCCACTGACACAGCACTGAATGTGCTTCCACTGCACCTGGGTCCTGTCTTAGACATGGGGTGGGGTGGGGGTGGGGGCGCTGCAGACAAAAGTGACCCATCGCGAGTGTGCTCCCAGGCAGCTGGGGAGGAAGGGCGAGGGCAGACACGTGGAGAGCTGTCCTTGAGTGGTGGGTCTGCCATAGGCGGGAACCCTAATTCACAAGAAAGGCCTAGAGGAGGGGCTATGAGAGGCAGTCACAGAGAAGGTACCTGCATTGAGCCCGAAAGGATATGTAGTATTTTTGAAACTTGCCGGGGGAAGAACCAAATATGACTTAGAACTGGGCAACTCGTCCCCTTTCTTGTAGAGAGAAACATATCTCACTTTTTTCCTACCAACAATAGAACACAACCGAATTGCTGCTCTCTTAATTTGAGAGTCCGATTCTCCTGACTGTCATCATGACCTTTTTTGTTAAGTTATCATCAGGTGAAGCGGATGACAAAGTTCTAGTTGGCAAGGTGTTGGGGGAGGTAACATATTTGCACCTGACCTTCTAGAAGTCTCTGCTGAACAGGTACGCATGACACACTAAAGTACTTTTGAACGACAGTTTTGCAGGGTTTGAGGGAAGCAAACCATCAGGAAATTCTGAGCTTAGACACATTTGCAAACATTTGTTAATCTAGATGCTTGAGGAGGCAGGCAGACACAGACAGGCAGACACAGGCAGGGGAACTTGTCCGTGCACAGAGCGACAGCGCACGGTCTGCAGGAACGAACGGGGAGCATACCTGAAAACACCACCTTGCGCCGCACTGTGAGGTTGACATGGCCTTGCTTGGCAGCTTGCTGCATAAGCTGGACCACCAGCTGGTGTGACTTTCCAATGACCGGTGTCCCATCCACACAGATCAGCTCATCCCCGGACCTCAGGCGGCCGTCCGTGTCAGCAGCACCCAGCGGTACAATGTGACCGATATAAATCTGTGGAGTAATTGGTTGACGGATAAAACAGCGACCTTTTCCTTTGCTATAATATTACACTCAAAGACCCCACATCTCCGGGAACATTTTCATTCATTCACATCTGTGTCCGTGCCACAAACACTCTCTGGTGCCCACGGATGACAGGCACTGTGCTGGGTGTAAGTTACCACAGTTCCTACGGGGCAAAGAACTTTTTCCTGTTTGGTTCCCCGACACTTATCTGTGGTGATGATTCTGTTTTTCCTCGGCAGAAATAAAACAGTTCCTTCCTTTCCTTTGCAAAACCCTTTCTCCCTTTCTATCTCCGTATGAACCCTCCTTTCAGAAAGCTTTGCTAATGGTAAGAGTGGCGCTACTCCTCTTTAAAACACAGCGCTGTGCCTTGCAACAGGGAATGCACAGTGGACGCTATTAAGTGAAGGCGTGAACCAACAAGCAAGCCTGGCCTGGCACCTGCATTTCTATCCTCTCTGCACCACAGCCAAGCAGCCTTTATTTAGTGCCTTATGTTTACCGGCCACTCAGCTTTCGTTAAATATGGTGCTCTCCCCGCCTTCTCCTTAGGTACCAATGCTACCGCTGCCTTTGCGTTACACGCACAGTTTATAAAGCTCCTATGTAATGAGTGAGTGGGTAAGAATATGGACTCTGGGATCAGACCCTTTCCAGTCCTTGGGCAAGTCAATTAACCTTTTGGGTCTTCGTTTGATGATTTGAAAAATGGGGAAACACTCATGGATTTGAAGGATAAATGAGAGTGTATGTTAAAGCCTTTGGCATAGCATCTGGCACAGAGTAAGCACTCGATAAGTAACAGTTATTTTTACTCTGACAAGGGAATTGATAATTCATTTCTTTAGTTCTCTTTCTCCCTTCAAAAGGGTTCCGTGATGAAACACTAAGTTTCTTCTAAAGAAGAGGCCCAGAGAGGTGAAATGTCTCCTAACTCTTGTTTGGGTTCTTTTTTTTGTAAAGACAGGTGGGTCCAACTTTTTCCAATCTCTCAACCTGGGGCTCCTCAAAACCCAGAACTGGCCAGAGCATCAGGCCATTGCTTTCTTACTGGATACCAATTCCTTCTGCTTTTTGGCTTAATATTCTTTGATGGCAGCTCCCACTTTTCACAAACTTTTATAGTGAAACCAAGGGTCCTTACGACTGTGATTAATTTAGCTATAATCCTAGTCTAGAAATCATGTCTCTCTCTCTAACCCTCAGAGACCTAGCCTTTCCCCCATAATCAGCCACCCCCGAGGCAGCAGCAGACAGGAGCCGGGGCCTGGCCTGGATCTTGCAGGATGGAGATAACATCCTGACCTGGGCTAGGTTTCAGCGCCTGAGCCCTAAGGTGGAACGATCCCCTGGCTACTTCCCCATGAAACGGACAGAGGGACACTGTTCCCGAGATCTGAAAAGCTGATTCCTCACCCTCATCTCAGCTCCAACCGGTCAGCTCCTAGCACAACCCGAGCCTGTGGCTTTGGGCATAAGCTGCCGGTTCTCCTGGGTGGTGCACTCCTAATAAAATAGCCAGCCTGTCTCCGCTGCGATTCTGCGATTCTCTGCCAGCACCAGGGGGTGAACTCTTTCTGTTCTCTAGTCCCTTTTCCCTCAAGACAAAAGCTCCACAAAACCTAAGGAAAGGCCCCTCTGCCTGGATGAAGCGGTCAGCGTGGCACCTTGCTGGACCGAGCCTTTGGGATCTGTTACTGCTGCCAGCACTGTGTGTGTATATGTGTGTAGGGGGGTAGGGGTGGGGAGGGGGGGAGGAAGGCGGGGAGGGACACAAAAGACTCACAGGTTCCCCTGGTTCATTTCCACCCAGAATCCTAAATCCAAATCCAGTCTCTTTCCTCCAGAGGAAGATGTCCTGCTCTTGGTAATCTGGAACTAGAGCGGGAGAAGGAAGAGAGAGGTTATTTCTCTGAGACACGGAAGCACACTCCGAAGGTACACAGTTACACGACCAACACTCATGCTGCTTGAGCAGATGACGGCTACTAACACAGACAAGGCGACAAAACAGCGGGACCCTGGACAAGGGTGGACAGTGGCAGCTGTCACTGAGCACTAAGTTTTTTCAAAGGACTAAGCACTGTTTGATAATTCCTGACCAAGCCCGAGCCATTATCCCTGACTGAGCCCGTGGTCAGCAGTGGCTCCTCTCCTCAGCACTGCCGTAGGGGCATAGATTACAATCACCATGGCCGCCCCGGTGCCTAAAGAGAGAGGAGAAGTCACAGCGACTCAGAGGGAAGGCACCTGAGGCTCCACCACCAAAAGGAGAGAGGGCTTGGTGTGAACAATGTCCCATTAAAAACCAACCAAGCAAAAAACACTTCTTTCTCCTTTAGGGCAATCAAGGCCAGCAATGCCAATAATTTAACTGGTAGTTAGATCATTTTTGCCAAAATAGGTTAGTCTTAAACATCCGAATATTTCCCAATTTGCAAAGTTTACTAAGATTTCAGTACTTTACCCAAAAGTCTCCAGCCTTCCATATCTTTAAGATTAATGGTAACAAAATTGTTGTGTATCAATGAACCATATTTCATTTAAAGTATGACTATTTTACTCCAGAATTTTCCTATATTTCATCATTAAAAGTATTAATTTATTATCCAATAACTTGATGTTTTATTTTTAAGATTCAATATTTCAGGGTTTTAAAATAAATAAAAAAATCTTTTTTTTCCCAAAAGAAAAGCAGTTTCCATGAAAACATGCTTACTGCATATGAAGTTGTTCTATATACCAGCCTGTTACCTAACGATGGCCATAAAGAAGGGTTATTTCTACTTAGTTTTTATTTATAAGTAGTGTTTTACAGTCTATAGATGACCTATCTTTTATTTAAAGAGAAAAAATGTAGTTTAGGGGCAGTGAATCTTAAATGAGATTTTCAAAGATTATTCTGCTGACTTCCTGGTTTAAGTAATTGGGCTGGGGCTGGAGCCTGGTGTAGACCCAGCATTTAATTCTCTTCTCCAATTCTGTCCAATGGGCCAGGGAGAAGGAGGCGGTGCTTGCGCTTCAGGTTGGAGAGAGGGCCCTTCTTAGTGACTCACCCACAGGCTCAAAATGTACAGCGAGTGAATGCGCCAGAGAGAAGCAGCCAAATATGCAGGAAGAGCAAATCAGAGGGGTCAGACTCTGATGTTTCTGCTTGAGCTATCTGAATGCCATGGTTCTGAGCATGCTTCTCACCCAGCGCTTTTTATTATACTCGCCAAACTAAGCTCAAGAGCCATGGAACATGGAGTGGAGCGACGGCAGAGGACTCCCATAGACATGATTTGAGAATTGTATTTTCTTAAGCATGCTCAGGTAACAATATTTTTTTCTTTCCGTTCGAGTGTCTGACTACAGGGTATTTAGTGTAACAGACTCATTTGGAAACAACAAATGAAATCAAGTTAGGTCTCTGTCGTTGGTTCACTCAAGCAGGATTATTACCAAAACGGACCCCGGGTGCTTCCCCTGGGTTCCTCTCTGTGAACAGCCCCTGCAGAGACCCCCGGCCAGACCCAGTCTCAGCATTGCTTCTCAGCATCACGTGCCCACCCTGAGGTAACACCAAATGGAGCCAGTTCTGCCTCATGCTCACTGCGGTGTGAGCTATCATGGTGTGGCCAGCAGGCTTAGGCTTATCATACAGGTTAGTCCACAGGGAAAAAGCATTTGTTTCTCCCTTAGAATCAATGGGAAAATGGCAAATCTACTTAAAAACAAGATGCCCAATGACACCAAGAACGTTGAGGACTGCAACGATGAGCAGGAAAACAGAGACACAAACACAGGGATGCTGCAAAGGAAGTCTTTCGGCTCCTTAACCATGATGCTCTCCTTCCACCACCCAATGCACATGGTCCGCCCACTTTGGCGACACACGGATCACGGGCTTCCTGCCCTCCGTGTCCCCCGCTGCCAGTGGCACTGAGGTGTCTCAACTGCTCCTCCCAAATGGTTAGCTCCCTTCTTTACCCAGGCAGATTCTACTTCAATTACATTCGGAGGAGACAGCAGGGCACAACCCCCTTTCTGATGTTTATGCCCCTTCGTTTTCTTTTGAGTTTGGCTAAATCAAAGGAGCGGGGAGAACCCCGTCCCGCTTTCTTCACTGGTAAGCCCCGGCCTAGGAGACAACCTCAGCAGCTCATCTCCTCTGGTGACGGAAGTGACAGCTCAATAAAGTGCTCAAAAGACTTCCTTTGCTAATGAGACGGATGGAATCACCAGGTTTGAGAAGAAACCTCCTGGTGTCTCCATTCCCGCACACACACATTTCCGCACTTAGCAAGCCCATGCCATCACTTTTTACTTCTTTATCTGGTCTTTGGTCTGTGCCTGGTTAACAAGAATTACCCAAACACGTGGCTCATGGCATTTCTCTTTCTGTACCCCTCCTCTCACGCACCCCCGCCTCTCCCCCAGCCCAATGGGAACATCAAACAGAATGAATATAATGGAGAAATAAAAATTTTCAGCGAATCCTTACTCTGACATTCTCCAAAATTCGTGGAATTGCTTTCCCTCTCTCTTTCACCCTTGCTCACTCCCGACGCAGGCGAAGGTGACATAGCTGGAATATCAATTTCACAATTTGCAAAAGCTTAATGTGTGTGCGTTCTCTCAGTTCCTTTTAATTTCGCTTTGATTGATAAGGAGCGTGCAGTTAAGCTTTCACAGTAAAGGTCATGGCTGCTCAGGATTTTAAAAGATTGCAGTTTGATTCTGCTTTATTTTTAATTTTTTTCCCCATGGTGCTTTTCTTGTAAAAAAGCTAGAATTTACCATTGTGCCATTAAGCATTTCAGAGAACTCCCATGACCACATTAGACGCTTCATATTTAACTGAACCCCACCGTACACATTCCCATATGGCCTTGTCCTGACTATGTCAGGAACTTTAGATGTGTCTAAACCTGTATTTCTTTTGGAGAAAAAATAAGTGTACTTTTGTAACTGCCACCCTCTAGCACTTATTTCAGAGTATCAGGCTCCTGGTGGATTCCATCCTGTGCTAATACCATTCAGATGAATTCTAGGCACTTCAACAGAAAGCCTTCCACGCGGAGGCACAAGGCATCAGATATGCCGAGGTCTGGACACTCACACACATAAGAAGTGTCTAGAACGACACCCAAGCTCCCGAAACAGACTCTGGTACTGCAGCCGGCTCACCACTTCCAGCTGTGTAAGCGTGTCTTCCGCAAAGCACGGCTTACGTTGGTAACGGGGCAGCTTTCTTCCCAAACTATCTGAGAATGGACACAACGCCAGTGGGAAGTTTTAGACTTCCTTTTAGAGCCAACACCAGGGCACAGCTGGCCCCTGATGCTGTAAGATTACATCAGTGCCATTTTTAAAGACATCTGCCCAATAGGTATGTTACCTACAGAAAAAATACAGAACAGGCAATATGGCTTTTAAAGGACTTCCATGCTGGCCTTTGTATTTAATTAAATGTGTAAGCCCTTCAAAGGGCTTCATGAAGGCACCTGCCCTTTGGATGATTCCTCTGACCCTGCTGTGGTGACAGACGCCATGCCAAGGCCATGGGGTTTGTACAGCACGTGGACCAGTGAAGGCACTGACTCAGGCGGTGCCCATCGGCACACCGCCCTTCTCTATAGAATGGAATGTGAGAAAAACAGACTTCCCTACAAAGAGAGGCACCGATTAAGGGTGCAGTTAAGGTTCCATAGCTGATTTCCATTTTCCCCGAGTTCTTTGCTCAGTGTAATGTCTTGGGGGGAGGGGACAGCGAATCACATCTTAGGCTGCACACGGTGTTTCTCTTCAAAAGACAAGATAAAAAACCACCTAGGGAATGGCAGCAACTGATCAGAGGTAAAGCAAAATACTAGTTAAAAGACAAGATGAATGAGGGTTCACTCATAGGTTCTTAAAAAGAAGAAAATCTGCGACAGATTCAGGATAATTACCACGGGGGGTAATTACCTCATCATTACCCTCATTTAGCAGCAGGGAGGAAATCCAAGTAAATCTCAACATCCAATAGGCTGCTACCATCACTCAAGTACGGGACTGCCAGTCACCACAGAGACATTGATTGGCACTTGTGCCCTGGACCCTGATCCTGCGGATGTGGAGAGCGAGGACAGACGGGCCTGCCGGCCGGCCACTGAGCCCTCTGAGGCTCACAGCGGCTGGTGATGGGAAGATTGCATGTTTTTCTTATTGTTGGGGTGGTGGTGAGAACTTTTTAAAAAAATTGAATAAACTCTGAAGACATTTTGCTTCCATCAAAGTACAAAATGCATTAGTGCCCTCGGTCAATCATGATGTCCCACCAGTGCTTCAGAGCATGGCCTATTTCGTCATGAAAAGATCCAGACGTGGGCGGTGATGACAAGATACATGAACATTATCTATGGTGAATAGTCTGTGGCAGTCACTTCATCATAAAAGTGAGAAATCAAACATGAAGGCCATGTTTTGTTCACAGGAGCCACAAAGTCACGGTGCATGCTGCTACCAGTTCCCGTTTATTGAAAAGGCACAGCCAGGGGAACTCATTTAAGCACAGGATCACTAATGCCTGCACACCCCACTCAATGCGGCTGTTTGGAAAGACCGCTAACACTGGTTAAAAAAATTACCAGAATTCTTAAAATCTTAAGAGACCACAAAATAATTTAGTTTTTTCTCTTTATTCCTGCAACCTATACCAGCCACGCTGTGTCCTCCTGTACCTCAGAGCTGCTTCCCAGGAGCTGCACCGTCTCTACGCGGGGAAGAGTTAACGGACGGCAGCTCCCACTGCTGCTTCCTTTAACTGGGGGGACAATACCCCGTGCTCCCCGGCCTCGTGTCCGATGACCACCTGTACCTGCCCTCCCCAAGCTGACGACCCGAGGGAGCCCCCAGGAACAGGCAGCAGACTCAATCACTGCTGACCGCTCTCCCCCTCCCCTCGCTCACCGCGATGGCCATGGCCTCTACGCGCGGGAAGCCTATTGCCCATTGGCCCCGGGAGCAAGCGGAGGCCCGGAGGTGGGCTGCACGGACATGGCAACTGGGGTCTACTCACGTCGGCTTTCATACATGCTCCTGGACTGGGCCCAGATTTTAAAGGGATCCGGCTTTTTCTGCCCGGAGCCGTCGGCCTGCTCGGTGGCGGGGGCCTCTGCGGGCGGGAACTCGGGGAGCACCTGGGCGCTGTGGCTGGGCGAGGCTGTGTGCAGGCTGCGGTGGCTGGCCACGCTGTGCTGGGAGCTGCTCTGGCTGTCCTTTCTCTCCAGCGGCTGCTGAAAGGGAGCGAGGGAGAAGGGCGAGACGGGAGGGTTATTATTGGTGCTGAGTGGGTGTCTCCCACCAGCTTGTCTTTGTTCGGCACTTCTGTGCACACACATCCACAAACATATCAACAATATTTTGGCTCCCACCTCCCTCCAGCGAATGCTGAATGCAGAAAACCCCCCGAGGGATGGGCAGACAGAGGGGGTGGGCCGGGTGTACACACATGACCACAGGCCACACTGCTCGGGGCTGTGGCGGCAAATGAATCCAGTTTCCTCCTGGGTTCTGGGCGAAAACATCGGCGCATTTAGGACAAGTTTTAACATCCCCCCTTTGTGGACAAATGTGTGACACAAAATGCCATGAATGGTTTAAATGTCAAGCTATGGTATCCTTAGGAAATATAATCAGCAATAAAAATGTGGTTTTTTTTTTTTTGAATCCACGTCTTTGATTATTCTTTCGATAATAAAATACCTGACCCCTATTTAAGGGTTTGCCATCAAAACTTCTGGACTCCAAGGAAAGGGGATCAGAGCTTTTATTTTATTTAATTGTTTCCTTTATCATGTTATTTAAAAATTTAAATTCTTTATTGTTTAAAGTATTATGTAAGTCTCCTTTCCCCTCAATGACCTCTCCCAGGCTATCCCCACCCCCAGCCATGGCCCCTGCTGGGTCTGGGTCCATTGGTTGCTCTCATATGCATGCATACAAGTCCTTTGGTTAACCTCTTAACCCCTCACCCCATGCCTTCCCTCATAGGTTGGACAATTTGTTCAATGCTTCTATGACTCTGGTTATATTTTTGTTCATCAGTTTATGTTGTTCATTATTATTTAAAAAATATTTTTATTTTTATTTTTATTGATTTCAGAGAGGAAAGGAGATAGAAACATCAATAATGAGAGAGAATTAATCAGCTGCCTACTGCATGCCCCCCTTCCCAGCTCACTGGGGACCGAGCCCGCAATCCAGGCATGTGCCCTTGCCAAAATCAAACCCAGAACCCTTCAGTTCACAGGCCCAAGCTCTATCCACTGAGCCTAACCAGCTGGGGTGGGATCAGAGCTTTTAGAAACCATTATGGGTGCACTTGAACTTAGAAGTAGATAAATAACAATTATATGAAGAACTTTCATAATTCTTAGGTGACCAATTTTGCAGACATCACATGATAGAATAAGCAGGTGTTCCTTAAAACCTACCCAGCAAATGACCCTTCCCACTTTATGAAATGTTCTTTGAACGGAGAGCAAAAATTAGGGGGAGGAAAAATACTGGGTGGGAAATGAAATAATTTCAGTTCTTATTTTCTCCATGAAAGACTGTGGTAAGCCCAGGTGCTTAGTTTCCCCCATTCAAAATAAACTCCTGGAATCTGCCTCTCACGTGACAGGTGCTATGTCCCTACTCTTACCTGCGGAAGAGCACGCTACAGGGACAGAGGACAGGAAGGGCTGTTTCCATCTTCTCTTAAAGGTGCTGTATAGCTTACGCTTCCCAAGCATAAGATCTTTGACTCAGAGCAGTCTGCGTTCCTGAAGTTCCATGTAGAATCAACACCTGTCCCTTGGTCTTATAAGGAATTCTACCAACTGCTCCCTCCTGCTACCTCCCTAGGTATCCTCCCTGTCTCATTCCCACATCAGTGGACATTTCCCAGGGCCCTTTCACCTAAATCTCAGGTCTCTCTGCCCCTCTCCTTCCAGGCCTTCATTTGAAAAAAAAAAAAAGAAGAATCTGAAGAAAGTCCAAGGAGGACAAAAGCTTCATTGCCCTTGACAATTACAGATTCCAATCTGAAATCAGGTTCTGGCAAATGTCCAAAGTTGAAGAAAATTGGACGTGCATTTAATGAAGGTAAGACAGACCATTTAAAATTGTGTTTGGTGTGTCCATGGGAGACATCTGAGGACCACATTCTAAACTAGTGAGGAGGTACTGGGAACACTGTGGGAGGAGTTTGATTCCGTCAGCATCCAGAACAGCCGCTCCGGGGAAGGGAGTGTTCGGTGGTGACAAACACCATCAGAAACCCATGTCAGCATCGCTCCCTTCCGGGGATAAAGCGCTCAGCTCAGACCTGCGTGGGTCAGCACTCCAGAGGCTTGGACCAAAACTGGTTCTGCCAACTTTCGGCAGCGCCCGCCCCACAGGAACATGGCTCTCAGGGCCAGCGACCTCATTTCTGCCCCAGAAGGTCAATGCTGCCCCCTCGCCTCCCCCGGAGACGAGAAGCCCGTGGTGCGGGAACGGGCCTGGCAGCCGCAGCCCGGCCCCGGCACAGTGTAAAGCCCGTCCTCCAGGCACTGCCTTCCTGGTGTTTCCCAAACCAGGAACCACGTGTGGACGGCAGGTACAGGATTCGAGTCAGAAAACATGGACGACAGAGGGCCCTCCTTCCCCTTTGCACCTGGGGTCTGTTTTCCTCCTGGCTGCCATCTTCACCAAGGGGGGGCCTTGCAGCACCCCCCCCCCTCCCGCCCAGTGTGCACACATTCGCATAAAGCGAAGAGCAGGGGACTCGGGTGGGCGCCCCTCTTCCTCCTTCCCTGTGCGGCTGCTTTTTATTAGGATGCACAGCGAAGGCTCCTTATCAGCAGCAGACAAGATGTAAAGCTATTTTCCTTCTGAGATTAGCCTTGGAAAGAAGCATCCATGGGGACTGTTAATCTATTTTTTACATTTTGGCGATACTTTGTTTTTGTTCTCCTCTGGGAGCGGGGGAAAGATTTTTAAAATATAAAAGCAGGTAATTCAATAAAGGGCCTCCCAGGTTCCCCGGAGAGTTGCATTCCTCCCTTCAAATCGCCCCCACCCTCCTCTCTCAAATAAGCAGCAGAGGTCAGATTGTGGGCTCTGTCCCCGGACACTACAATTGCTCCACGGGGAGGTCTCCGGCTCTTGAAGCTCAGTCTCCTTCGTGTCCACACGGCTCTGCACAAAGCCTCATGAGGCCTGAGTGAGGCCCACGTCCCACCTCCTCCCTCATGGGTCCTCTGTGGCCTCTGGAAACCCAAACGTAACCTCCGCTCCCCTCCTGACCTGGAGAAAACCATCATCTGCGACGCTGCCCCACGAGGAGCATCCGAACCCGGACCTTCTCCTGCAGAGCGCGGAGCTCCCACAGGAGCACAGAACGCGCAGAGCTGGCATGGCGCCTCCCGGTGCGGCAGCCCCTGGCATGGAGGCACGGACCCCCCCCCCCCCCCCCCCCACTTACCTGAAGACACAGCTTTGCCATGAACAGAGGGGCAATCACCGGAGATGGTTTGAGCCATTTCTCAAATTCAAACACCCTCCTACCCTCCCCAGTGAATGAGTCATGTGGGTCCCATTTAACACAAAATGGAGCAAGTTGGCAACACCGCCCCTCAATCAGACTGCACGTCCGCAGCCCTGTGAAATGCCATCCACACATGGTTCCCGATTTGGAAAATATCAGGAAGGCAGCGCCCTGGGCTCGTGCTTCAGACCGTGCCATGGCCGGCTGGCTGCCTGGCCTGCTCCCACACCACGGGCTGCCTGCACACCGGTAATGGGAGCCCGTGGTATTCCCCCGGTAAGGCTCAACCTCACCTGAGGTTTCTCCTCAAGTTTAGCTTTGAAAAGCACTTAATCAGAAGATGCATTCTGGACTGAATAGTTCGTTGGTGCTCTGAGCTTTCTGGGGCTTTGCTCTCATTTGTGAAAAACCCCAAATAAGCCCTGTCTTTCCTGCGAGCATGCCCATCCGCTCCGCAGAGCTTCTATCCGCTGGGAGCTCACCGCTGTCCAGAAGGAAAGCCATGTTTCTCTCTCAGGTTACTGTCAGCCTGGGTGCCTCCCCTGCAGTCTGTGTTCCCTCCCGGCAGACCTGGGGCCAGAGAACAAATCCAGGCCTCAACTAAATACAAGGCCAGATGTGCATCTAATGTGACTGTCCTTCACCTCACTTTCTGGTGAAAATCTGGCCACAGTCACATATCTGCAGTGAAAGAGACACCTTCCATTCTGTTAACCCAATCCAGGCACACTAAGGACACGGCTGCAGGGAGCACCGAGCACAGGACAGAGCTGCTAGCGAGGCCCTCCTGAGCCCCTGCTGCCACCCAGAGGGGCAGTGAAGTCCTCTGATTCCAACACCCTCTCCCCTCCCCAGTGAATGAGTCACACGTCCTGACCACCCACTGTGAGTCAGACCCAGGGCTGTGGTGTGTCAGTAAGGAAGGATGGCAGCTGAGTGCTCAGAGCTCACATCCTGGGAGTATCGAGGTTGGGTGTGTGTGGATGTGCAGATGAAAATGACCATGGCAGGCTGATGCCAACAGACCCCACGGCCCTGTGGCCGGTAAGGAGAGACTCTGGAAGAACATCCCATTGGTGGCAGCAGCATGTGCTCAGTCTTCAAAGCAAAACTGAGTTTATAGTTAGAGAACAGAGAGGAGGCGAGTGTGGTGCAAGGGGCTGGGTGTCTTAGATGCCCTGGGAGGCTAGTGTGAAGGCCTCTGGGCTATGTCAGGGGGTTTGGGTTTCGTTGTTAGTTCAGGGGAGGAGGGATAGATTAATGAAGGAAAAGCTGGGCTGCATCAGAAGCCGACTTGCTGCCAGCAAGTTTGGTCTGTCTCCCGGGGTGGGGATGGTGTGTGTGTCTGAGTGAGAGAGAGACAGTGAAGGTTAGTGGGGATGGGATGAAAGCAGAGAGCAGGGGGCGAGGATGGTGTGTGAGTGTGTGTGTGTGTGTGTGTGTGTGTGTGTTTGTGTGTGAAGGTTAGTGGAAATGGGATGAAAGCAGAGAGCCTGTCAGGAAACAGCTGAGTTCAAGGAGGTATCTGAGAAGGGTTAGAGCTGGGGACTACTAGTGACCAAGCAGAGGGACAGTGAACTTAGAAGGCATTTGGCCCCAAGTCAACAGGCACTGCTCACAGAGGGCACCAGGGGCAGAGCAGGAGGAGGAGGAGTTCTCATTAACCCGGGCAGCGCCCTCTGACCCTGCCCCCAGGTCCCACCTTGAGCGACTGGCTGG